GATTATCTGAGGAACATTGATGTTTTGACTATGTTGAATTTTTTAATCCATAAATGTGATATATATTTCCTTTTATTTAGGCCTCTTTGACTTATTCCATCATTTTTTGTAATGTGCAACATACACATTCTGTACTTGTTTTTTTTTTTTTTCCCTAAATTATCTATTTGTTTAAGTATTTGATTCTTAGGGAAATATTATAAATCTGTTGCTTCAGACATTTAAGTTTCCAAATAGTTCATTGTTATAATATAGAAATATGATTGATTTTTGTGTGGTGACCTTGCATATGGCTACATTGCTTAATTTATTTGTTGATTTTGAGAAGTTTTGTTTGTTTTCACTTGTCTTGATCCTCATTTTCTGCTTGAGCAATACTATTACCTGAGTATACAACAACACTGTAAGAAAAATTTTTCCTCCTTTTCCAATTTGTGTGTCCTTCTTTTACTTTTCTTGCCTTATTGACCATACTATGGCTTTCATGCAGTGGTAAATAGAAGTGGTGAATGATTTCAGTCTTTCAAGTGTGATATTTGTCATCTTCAGTCACTAAGTCATGCTCAATTCATTGCAACCCTGTGAACTGCAGCATGCCAGGCTCCCCTGTCCTCCACTAGCTAAAATTCATATCTATTGTGTCCATGATGGTATCTAACCATCTCATCTTCTGCTGCCCCCTCCTTCTGTTGTCTGCAATCTTTCCCATCATCAGGGTCATTCCCAATGAGTCAGTTCTTCATATGAGGTGGCCAAAATATCGGAGCTTCAGCTTCAGCATCAGCCCTCCAATGAATATTCAGGGTTGATTTCTTTTAGGATTGACTGGTTTGATTTCCTTGCAGCCCAAGGGACTCTCAGGAGTCTCCTCCAGCACCTCAATTCAAAAGCATCAATTCTTCAGTGCTCAACCTTTGTGGTCCAACTCTCACATCCATACATGACTACTGGAAAAACCATAGCTATGACTAGACGGACCTTTGTCAGCAAAGTGATGTTTCAGCTTTTTAATATGCTGTCTAGGTTTCTCATAGTGATGTTAGTTATACTCTTTTTTGATTGATGCTGTTTATACAACTGAAGAAGTTTCTTTCTATCCCTATTAGCTGAGAATTTTTATCATTAATAGATGTTGTGTCAAATGTTGGACATATTTTTAAAATTTCTATTTGTATGCTTCTAATAGTTAAAAAAATTATTTTGACTCCTTTCGCTATTTTCAGCTCAAATTTTTTATGTACATGTAAGTAGTCATATCAAATTAATCTACTTCCACTAATAAAAAGTTTTCCCAATTTCAGGCAACGTGGTCCAGCTTTTAGTAGGTGCATTCTTTTTTTTTTTTTTTTCAGAGATACTAATTTTTTAAATTGGTATTTTATAGATTTATTTTTAGAGTTCTAACAGATGAGCAAGTAGTAGAAAATAGTATATCTTGGAATAGCTAATTACCACCTACTGCTAATAAAAATTATGATTTCAAGTATCATTTATAATTTACTACAATTTGCTGAGTACTAGAAGAGAAATGCAAAGGCAAATATCAAAGAAACCATTTGTATCATACAGATTTTATCTGCTTTGTTTACTTCATTACTTATTTGCTTATGTTTTCTGTAAAAAAAAGAAGGTAAAGAGTATCTAAATTTTTATCTTCATCAAAAATCAGTACAACAAACCAGAAAAATCAATTAGGAGGGTCAAGCAGTTTTATAAATTAGTTTAGATTTGTTCTAAGTAATCATTCTGAGCAAATGATCATTTAAAAAACATACCAAAACATTTGTCTTTTTATTTCTGAGTGAAATAGTTTTAAATGATCATCAAATCCTACAGTTTAATTCAAAATGTTTACTTTACAACTTTTGTGTTACTACTCATCAATTCCATGGATCCATTTTTTAATAATAAGCAAATTATATGCTTTAAAAATAAATGGTAAAAGTTGCTGTGTTCAAGTTGCATTTGAAGCGAAAACATTCTAATGATTCATTTTTATGGCAAGAATAAAGTTTTCAAGAGTTAAACATATTCATAATTTAATTACTCTGCTGAGACCTAAAAGTCTATGTCTTTGACTTCAAATTTTACTTTCTTTCTAGACTTAAAATTTAAGAATTTTAAATATACAATGTGGAACTCGATTTTTAGAATACATGTTGGAAAATAGCTGAAAGCTCTTCTATTTCTAAATTTAGCACTTGATATATGTGGCTTTTTGTCTGTTTTCTGTTTTACTCTGTAAATGCTGTTATTTTATATTCAGATTATTTTTAATGAGTTTTCAGACACCCTTGGAGCCTGGATAATGAAAATGTTATTTTCTATATTAAAATTAGTGTGTTTTTATAGTGCATTAGTCATGTTTGTTAAAGGCTAAACGGCTATTTCATTATGGTAATTATAAACACACACTATCTCTCATATTCCTACCTATTTTAATGGAAAAATGCAGACAGACATTATTAGTAAACTTCTGATACCCTGCTACTATTAAGTTTCAGACTTCTAAAATTGTACTTTGTGAAATTCCATCATAAGAAACCAACTTTTTTTAGCCTTTTTTTAAAACTACTCTCATTTATCCTCCTGTATGTATCTTTCTATTTTACTCTTCCTCCTCTCTGTATTTTCCTCTTGCCTTTCTCCCTGCCTTTATTTTCTTCTCTTTCTTTCCTTTCCAAAATTCTTTTTTTTCTAAGTGTCTCATGTTTGTTTTTATTTTCATTAAAACAATATTTGGTAGCATTACCATTGCCCAGTGGTCACAAACACTCTGAGACATACATGCAAACATGCAAAGACATGTCTGCACACACATTAGCAAAGAATTTAAAATAACCCTTCACTTAATTGAAAAATGTATATTATTTCTTAGTTTAAGTCTCTTATTAGAATTGCTTAGAACTTTGATATTATGCAAATGTTTTTAGTTACTGTCTCTATTAGATCAGGGGAAGAAAAGTTTTCCTAGTCTATCTCCCTGTGTCTAACTGAATAGGGATCCATATTGTATGAAGGTCCACATAACCAAAGCCATTAACATTACAAGATTAGCTGTAATAGCCCTGATATAGAAAATATCAGGAGTTTCCACTTTTCACATTACATTTTACTCTTACCTTAATGGGCTTCCCCGGTGGCTTAGTGGTAAAGAATCTGCCTGTAATGTAGGAGACACAGGAAGCCCAGGAGATGTGGGTTTGATCACTGGATCAGGAAGATCCCCTGAAGAAGGAAATGGCAACACACTCCACTATTCTTGCCTGGAGAATCCCCATGGACAGAAGAGCCTGACTGGCTATGGTCCATAGGGTCGCACAGAGTCAGACAGGAGTGGGCACACACTTTCCCTAATACTGGATTCTGTTTTTCTGAAGTGATATAAATACTCAGGCTTAACTTTCAGCTGACAGCAATAACAGGTTGATTCATGTTTTCAGCCAATTAAAAAAAAAATGAACTAGATGATTTTAAGTTTATATGTGGAGTTTCTAAGTAATTTTAGTTTTTAAAATTGGCAAAATTCTTTTGCAAACATTTTTGCTCTTGGTGTTGGTTTCCATTACTACTTTAATGGAAGATATTTATTTTTTAAAGATGGATAGCTAGTTATGGAAGCAATTAAGGTGCTTCACAGAATCTGGAAATTTGTAAAACATATTAATAAGTCTGCTACCAACTACTAGTTAAAATAGATTAGGAGTGAGAAATTAATCTACCTTCTTTACCGTCATCTTTGCATTTATCTTGACAAAGGTCATTAGAACCACAGAACAAGAAACAGTTTAAGAAATTTGTGCAAGTTTTTCCTGTCCCCCGACTTTTAATAGACAATGAACCTTAGAGAGTACTTTAAGCTATTACTCTCAACATTTTTTTTCCAGTAATAGTTTAAAAAGCCAAATAAATTATTAACATGGGACAAGAAAAGAGTCTTATTAGTTTAAATTAGCCTTATTTATAAGGAAAACACATAGTGCTCTGCATTAAGCCTTACCTTGGGTCCTCTGCTTCATGAATTATGTGCTTCTGTGTCACAGATACTTGCACACTTGATGATCTTGTAGTAACCCATAGCTGCTTCAGAGCACAATGGTGTGATATGAAGTGAGGCAGAAAACAGGAGAAGCTTTGTCGCTGAGTCAGCTGCAAGAAGAAGTAATGTGTATGAATGTACAGTATAGGGAGATCTATGAAAGATCTACTCTCTTTCTCCCAAAAGACTCTGTTCCATGGTACAAGGAGAATTCAGTTCTATTTGGCAGACCTCCATGTCAGTTTGGAAGCAGTAAAAACAACCACAAAAACAAGCCTCATTTCTCAGTGTCTTTAATTCTCCATGTTTTAAGTAACATTTTAACTCTCATTTTGATTTCACTTCATTTTAATAATCAAGAGCTAACACCCCTCTCTCTTGTACTGAGTACAATTTCCAGTGTAAGGATGCAGCTAAGAATGAATTACAGAAATGAGTCCAGTCATAGGTGCTATGCTGGTGTTTGTCACTGGTACAATTTGAAGGAAAGGCCCTATATCTCTTAACTGAGGCGGGGATGACTTTAAATGATGTTACATCAAGGAGGGCAAGGAATCCCAGCAGATGATGCCAATTTGTTTCAAAATGAGTATTATTAAATAATTCATGCTTTTAATATGGAGAAATTAGGTCATTTTTCCACTCCTCCCACAAATGTTCAATCTTAATATCTAAGTAATGAAACAACACAGAGAGTGTTATCCATCCTGATACTAACAGAGAATGCCAGTTATGACAGGCTCATTGTTTACTTTAACAGGTAATTTGTGGACTGGAATCATTTAATTGTTCTGAGTACATAATTACATGTCAGCAATTTCCAATTTAATTAAAATGTACAAATCTGAAGATTAAGGGAATTTTTGAATTATTAATCATTTTTCCACTAGGAAATCTTGTTGCTCTGCAGGAGATTTGTCCAGTGTACAACTATACGTATTTTTTTCCTTCTTTTTCACAGACAGACAATTTTCCCGCAGAGCCCAATTACATGGGCAGCAGGCAGCAGTTTGTTCAAAGGTAAGGCCTATTAAATAACTTTCTCGGCTTCCCCATTTGCATTCGTGTCAAAATTGCTTTGCAAGAGTCTACACTTCAGGTTCAAACTCGTAGAGACAATACTTTCTCTTCTTTTTCTTTATATGTATTTCAGTAGCTCCACGTTTAAGGACCCAGAAAGAGCCAGCCTGAGAGACAGTGGGCACGGGGACAGTGATCAGGCTGACAGTGACCAAGACACTAACAAAGGCTCCTGCTGTGACATGTCTGTTAGGGAGGCGCTCAAGATGAAAACGACTTCAACTAAAAGCCAACCACTTGAACAAGGTGAGTGAAGCCTTCCAATGCTTACAGAGTATAAAGCTTAAGCAATATTAAACCTCAGAATACTAGTTGTAGTTTATCACCTTGGAATGGAACTTTTATAATATAGCAAAACAAATAGCAAATTCCGAGGTTGCCTCAGACAAAAAGCAATTTTTCAATACTTCAGTAACCATAGAAAAATGAAGTTCATGGATTCTAGCCTGAAAACTTCCTAAAATAACTCTGCCGAAGTCACTAGATTATACTTATTTTTATGAACATTTACTAACCTTTGCTGTTTTGCATTTTAGTAAAGGAAAATATGGTATATGTTAACTAGATATGCACATTTTAATATATTAATATAAAGATTAAATGAATAAATTTAACATTTTTAGGTGAAATGAAAACTCGATTGAAATTGTATAGCTCTTAGCAGGGTTGGTATTATTTTTAGTGTGGGGTTTAGCTTCAAAGTGGTTTTGCAAGAGTCAAATAACAACTAAGCCAGAGTTCTGGCTCCTTCTTTTGATTTACATCTAAGTCTTCCTGGATATCAAATAAACATGAACTTGTTTAGTCTGATAGAGGTAAAAAAGAAATGCTTCTTCATGAATACATGTCTTTTCTGGAAGTCTAACTTCAGTTTATTAGCTCAATATGTCTTTTTATTAATCATGATATTTTTATTGTTTCAAACACAGTAGAATGTTTATTAATGATTCACCCAAAGAGAATTAAGCTATTCTTTTGTGTAAGACTTAGATGTTGTGAAAAAGCTTTTTTGTATCCAGTTATAAAAAGTAAAAAGAAAAAAAAAAGTAAAAAGAACTGTTGCATAAATTGAATTTCAGAGTTACAAATGCATATTATATTAGTTAATATCAGTTTTCAGAATATTGATAATATGAAAGTATATTGATATTTAAGTTTTGAGAAGCTATATTTAAACTATTTGAACTTATTTATTCTTCTAAGTCATTTAATGATAGATGATTCATAGAAAGTAAAGTTTTGCCTCTAGTGCAATCTCTCCTATCACATATACATCAGCAGATAGAATGCTTTTTAATTTCTCTAATCATGTTGAAGTTTTGATTCAAATATGCAAATACACACATATATATGCATTCAATACAGAAATTAATTGATATGTATATTTAAGTTTCTGCACTCAATATAATTATGCTGGCCTTATTTTAAGAATGACACTCTCCAAAGCCTTCTTTTCTAAGTAATAAGTGCCAGATATATTGTAGCAAGTTTTTGCATAACAAGGCTATATTGTTTTAAAAATTACTTTAAACAAAAGTTAATTGAATACTTACCTAATATTTGCAGTTCTTACAAATTTGAGTGTTTACTTTATGTGACTTATGTGGTCTTTATGGGTTTGACTATACAATGTCATATAAATATTTTAGGCACATTTTAGGTAATGAATTTTTGGATTTTGGTATGTGAATACATAGCCTAACAGACTCATCTACATGTGTGATAAAGTGGTTTGCAGGTAATTCATTAGCTACTATTTGTAAAGCTGCATAGAGTAAGTAAAGAGTTTACATTTACTGTCATATCTTCATGAGAAAATTTGTTAATTAAAACCAGCCTGCTGCTCACTATTAACTTCTTAATTCCTTTCCATACATTGAATGAGCAATGTAATTGATTTAAAAAAAAAACTATAGGTAAAGGACATTTATATCTGAAAATGTAGTTTATACTGAAAACCTGTTATTTTTTTCCTATTTTGGTATCAAAAAGTAATATCTTAGAAGGGTGGCTATTGTTCTTAAAAGAACATATAGTTGATGTATATTTTAATTAGTATTACACATAAAATAACTTCTAGTCTATGAGTGAGAATGCCAATAGAGATGTCTCCTGTAAAGAAGTAGTTTCCATGTATCCTTATTAACAAACATGAGAAAGTTATGAATCTGAAAGCCACACTTAGAAGATAATCTCTGAATTACATAGAAGACTGATTTGTACTTTAAAGCATGATTTTTGAAGGATTAACTAAAAGAGTATTTCATTGATGGATTGATTGATGGATTTGACTCATTAATTCATTTATTTAATAAATATCTATTAATGTTTTCAATAGTAAGGAAAGTTAGATACTTTGGGGACATCAGAAATAAATTTGATTTGGAGCCTGCCTTCAAGAAACTGTATGTAACTGTAATAGAGATAGGAGACTCTCTCTGTGTCTCTCTCTCTCCTATCTCCTCTCTCATTTACCTTTATCTCTTGTCTATCTCCCTACCTAGCTCTCTATCTACCTCCAGTCTGTCTTTTTCTGTCCATCACCTAGATCATCTTTTTGTCTCCCTGTCTCCCTTCCCTTATTTCTTTGTCTTTTTCCTATCTATGTATCTTATGTATACATCTATCTACCTACCTATCTAGATGAAGAGGAGGCTAGTATTTATTGTTTTTACTATTTACCATAAACTATGCTAACTTCATTTCAACATTAGCTTATTTAACCTGAAAACTCTAAAATAGCTAGCATTTGTATCTTACATATAAAAAAACCTGAGCTTATGGGGAACAGGTTGGAATTTTATCTTAGATCTAGATATGACCAAAATTTATATCTTTTCTATAAAACTTTATCTCCAAATAGGAGAATTTGCTCAAATATACATTCTGATTCTTTGCTATGACTAGTTATCATGTAAACGTTGAAGGTTATTGAATTCATGTATATGAACCTCAGGGGAAAATATCAAAATGACTTATATGCAATGAATTATTAGTGGCTAAAACATAATATTCTTTTTAGTATTCATTGCATTTATAAATAGATGAATATAGTTCCTCTCACATTTATAGATGTTAAGAAACTTTGTCAGTGTTCCATGCTGTAAGTAGTGAAGTTAGCATTAGAAATAAAATAGCATGCCTTCAGGGTTTGTCTTCTTAACCAATGCTTTATACTATTCACATAATGAATGGTTTACTCAGAAAATAAATAAATAAATAAATGTTTGAAGAAGCAATCAGCCATTGTCTTGGTCATTGTACCCTGTTAACATATTTGAAAAGCATCGCAAACACCAATGCTAAGTTAATTTAATGCACACCTATAAAGAGTAATTTCCTTTACAGATGAAAGAAGATGACAGCAGTATTCAAATAATTATCTCATGTCCAAGTTTCATATGTTAAACTCTAATTTTTAATATCTTAAAAAATCTCCTAAAAAACAGAAATAAATTTCCTTTAAAACAAAACAGAAAGAAACCTTTTTATCACTTTTTTTTAATAGTAGTGCCTTAATAGTTTTTAGTTAAAAAGTTGTAGCATGCTATATTTCATATTTTTATATTCATTTATTTGACTTCTTTCCCTGTTTAAATTATCTCTATTAAGAAAAATAATGTTCTCTTTCTAAATTAAAATACTATTTTAATTAGAAATTAAAATCAATTTAAAAAATAATCTTCATATTTTCAGTGGACATTTTCTATGCTAATAATGATTTCCCATTGCAAATAACTTAGTACATTTGAAATTTCTTTAACTCAACTGTTGCTGTTTTATTTTCTCTTTTGTACCATTAGAGTTTTTCCATTTGTTTTATTCCTGATATTTGTGTATTTTTGCTACCATCAGTTTAAGCATCCTAGATATACAGCACTAGTATGTGTTGCCCATTATTTTAGAAAAAAAAATTTGAAAGGATTCAGTAGCTAATTGATGGTGTGATGTACTGCACTATAGCTGAAGATAGCTTTAAGGATTTTATGTTAATAAACCCTCTAATAGAAAGAAGTTATTTTAGTTTCTCTTAGTGTGACTTAAAATAAAACAAAACACCTCTCAAAGAATGTACTTAGTTTCTTACTGTTTGAGTTCATTTTTCTGTCTGCCTCTCTGTCAATTAGATTTTTTCCCCATATAGTCTCCGTCAAATATTAAATGTAGATAGGTAGGTTAGTTGGTAGATAGAAGGAGGGAGATAATAGTAAAACAATCTGAATGTTTTGGAATTGATGTGGTGCCGATAGTAGCACATTCACACACGCACACACACATACACACACACACACACACACATTATTTAATAAGTCATTGTTTATTGGAAAATGACACAGAAAATTGATTAAAATACATTTGATTTTATTATTGCTGATTTTATATTTTGGAATGAGAAAAGCTAATTTATATCAAGAACTAGTAAAAATACATAATGTTACTTCTGTAAACAAGAGTCACAATTTTATAAAGAAGAAAAACTCTTTCAGAAAGTTTTGAAGGTAACTTACTACTTATACCTCAGAATACCATTTATACTTTGACTTCAAGGAAGTATGATACCCTTGAATTTCTATCCATCAGAAGCCCTGTAAAGTATTTTGATTGTTAGCAATAATTGCTTTTTTTTCTTTTAAAAGATGTAATAAGCTTTCCCTAAAATTCAGTAGTCGCTATTGATTCCCAAATAATAAATGTGCAGTTTTTATAAATGCTGACCAGCAATTTCTCTGAGCTTCTTATTGATAGCTCAGTGACTGTTCTCAATGTTTCAAGGATAATCGGTCTTCTGATATCTTTATAGTTCACTGAAACCAAGTCCTTGAACTGAAGTCTGACGCTAGTGGAGTAGCATTGTTCATCCCGAGTACTGATGGCCTGGCCTGTGCTAGTGACTGCAGTGGAACACTACCCACCTGGAGTGTAATGCCCTATGGGGGCCAGATTGTTGGTCCCCTCCCTGGTGACTGGACTCCACGACATTTCTGAGCCTCAGGAGTTGCTCCTTTCACATTCTTTTTCATTTCTTATTTTATTTAATTGCCTTATAATTTCCTTTACTCTATTCAAGGCTGTGTCTCCCCTGTTCTCTCTACTGCCAGAAAAATCTGACTTCCTAAATTATGTTCTGAATTCAAAACATTTCACAATGGAATCCCTGATTATAATCTAATAAAAATATAATCAGTAGGAAGTTGAGAATAAATGAAATACCAAAGTAGGTTTGCTCCAGCGAATTCAGTTTTAAA